TGCCATACCAGGAGAAGAAATATTGGTGGAGTGGCAGAACAACATAGCCACTGCCTTCGTGCCCGAAGGACCTGGTTTGGATACGTACTACGAATTGGCTAGAAAAGTAGAACATCCCAAACACCCGGAAAGACTACTAGAAGTGCCTGCGCCGCCCAACAAAGAATGCGTACAGGCGCTACATATGCATCCAGGCGAATACCAATGCTGGAGATACGCCAAAACCACGTACAGAAAAAAAGAAAGGACAATCCTGTTTCTCTCCGAAAGATGCTCGGAGTGCGTTTTGGAGGGCTGCACGGTAGAACATGCAACCACTCCGGTCTGGGGACACTTCCTGGACGAGCAAAAGATAGACTGGACATCGCAGCCGCCGCTGTACTGCAAAATAGGTAGGGAAAAGACTACCAAGGCAAAGAAGAAAGACAGACTGGTGCACGTCTCTACTCCGGAATCCTAGGCCTGCAAAGGGTGTTCGCCTCTACTCCATCTCCGGAATCCTAGAATTTCTCTGCGGTTTCGTATCCTCCGCTGGATGTCTGTAGTAGACAACTTTGGGTGGTTGCATGCGCGTCCAAACGACAGCAGCCACGCCCACTAGCGCAAATAGCACATTGCTAGCTATTTGCCAGTCTATTTTTGTGGATACTTCCTCCACTTCGCCCTCTATTTCTTCGAAGGAATTCTCTTCGGGTTCCTCTTTTTGTTCCATTTTGGCTAGCAATTCCTCCTTTGCGTCTCGGAGTTCTTCTCTAGCTTTTTGGAGATCGTCCAAGACTATAGCAAAGGARTCCTGCACTTCTAGGAAATGTTTCTGCAGGTCTGTAGTAGGTGGTTTTTCGGGGATTGCTACCTCCAAGCCATTCTCTCGCTCTATCCTGCGTATCTTTGGTATGCCTATGCCGTACTTTTTGGCTACCTTCTGCAACCCTACGCCATTTCGTCGATCTTCCAACAATCCTGCAATTTCTTCCTCGGATAGTATTTTGGGTGTTGCCATATATATCTACGAATACGGTTCGAACATAGCTAGGTACCTATGGATCCATAGGGGTATTCCGTGGGTCCATAGGATATAGACATGTATCTCTACATAGCTGCGGGTATGGTCGCATACGTGCTAGTAAAACAAAGAACTACACGAATACTTTTGGAGATCTTGGAAGGTCTCTACAGACTTCGCATACCGGGCTACGTAGCCACTTTGGCGCAGCTACCGCGGCGTAGATAGTAGAAGCATAACGAATCGTTACCCTTAGCCCGCCAACCTTTTCTTGTGTTTCTCCATGCAAAGGTAGCGGTTGCTACGGCGGGGAAAGTACAAGAGCCTTGTTTCGGGCCCATACAAAAATGGAGAGGTATTTCGCCTCCACGGACATTCCTGGGGCTTGCTACCAGCGCAGTGGACACAAAAAAATACTACTTTGTGCAAAAATGTGTCTACGAGGAATACCCGTGCGGGAGTAGAAAAGGTAGCCGAAAATGGTTGCCGAAACAATGGGCAAAAATATACTCTTATAACTTGCTCGTCAAGATATACCGGGTGTAAACCTGGGATATGACTCATCCAGTCTCTAAAGTATTTTATTCTTTTGTATGGGGTCTTCTTACGACCTCCATTGGCGTAATATTGCTCTTTGGTAGCATTTGGTACGGCATTACGAATATTCTTACCACACTCGTAACACTGTGCTGACGTGTCGTCTTCTATTTGCATTTNCCACGGACATTCCTGGGGCTTGCTACCAGCGCAATACTACTTTGTGCAAAAATGTGTCTACGAGGAATACCCGTGCGGGAGTAGAAAAGGTAGCCGAAAATGGTTGCCGAAACAATGGGCAAAAATATACTCTTATAACTTGCTCGTCAAGATATACCGGGTGTAAACCTTGGATATGACTCATCCAGTCTCTAAAGTATTTTATTCTTTTGTATGGGGTCTTCTTACGACCTCCATTGGCGTAATATTGCTCTTTGGTAGCATTTGGTACGGCATTACGAATATTCTTACCACACTCGTAACACTGTGCTGACGTGTCGTCTTCTATTTGCATTTTCTTACCACAACAAATATACTTATTTGGCTTAGTAGGTACAAACTTGGGTTTCAAGCACTTTACACAGAAATCATAAGCAAACTCTTTACAATCTTCGCACTYCATATATAGACTAACATATTTAACTACATAGACACGGGATGCGGGTAATCGCTGTACGAATCGAGGAATTCACTTTAGACGGGTAATCCTCCGGTGGTCGTTGCGCTGGAACCCCCATCCCCTATACTACTAACCCGGGTCGCATTGGTGACGCCACCCGGGCATAAATCGAAGAAATACGACATCAAATAACATAACCAAACAGTTATTTTCTTACCTGTTTCCCAAAAAAATGGCTGTGTCTAACTTTTTGCATGTAAAAGGCAACAAAGAAAGTTCCAAATAGTAGAATGACAGACAGAAGAGCTGTGTTGGGCTCTCCTTTAATCGGGACCACTACATAATCCCCTTTTATTGTCATATTCCTGATGCTACTAATTCGGCCCAATGGATTAACCTTGAATACCTTAAACAACAAGTGGGATCTAATCAGTACACCCGTTACGACACTGGACCATAAAGATAGAATAGACGATTGGCATCATTTGCATCTAAGGGAGAATGCAAATTACTTTTCATTTTTATAATAATATTTTTTTAAATGTTACCCCTAAAGTTTCTTTTCCCTCAAGACCCTTCATAACAAATCAGTCGAAATGACAAAAAAATGAACCGGAAATATTATCTGCTAACATCTAGTCTATCATATTGTGTCAAGTAAAGCCATTTTAATTCAAATAAAATAAAAATGAATTCGCCCTACCTTAACCAGGAAATTGATAGCCTCGTAAATAAATATTGCTGATATCAGGCATCCAAATATCTCCTCCGTAAAGCGAGAAAAATAACGCACAAGAAAACATCCCTCAAAGATGACAACAACCAGCAAAATTATCATGACCCATATTCCTATCCAAAACCGCCACGGAAGAAACTCGATGCCATACTGCTTGCAAAACTATAGACAAAACAAGATAAGACTATTATATCATTACTAACCCGTGAAAACTAAGACACCATGTAACCTATCAGCTGGAATGACTAACCCCAAGAAAACTGCACACCACGTAACCTATCAGCTGGAATGACAAACCCAAGAAAACTGACCACACCACCTAACCTATCATGTAATGACAAACCCAAGAACACTAACCACACCACCTAACCTATCAGCTGGAATGACTAACCCAAGAAAACTGACCACACCACGTATCCTATCAGCTGGAATGACTAACCCAAGAAAACTGACCACACCACGTAACCTATCAGCTGGAATGACTAACCCAAGAAAACTGACCACACCACGTAACCTATCAGCTGGAATGACTAACCCAAGAAAACTGACCACACCACTTAACCTATCAGCTGGAATGACTAACCCAAGAAAACTGACCACACCAC